AAATATAACAATAATAAACTCATTACCAGTTAACATAAAATCTTTTTATAAAAACTAACTGTATCTTCCAAAGCAGAAAGCAGTTAGTGAGAAGCACAGTGGCAGTTTGCAGTTTTAGAAATCTCTGCACTGTCTAACTCACAGATGGCAAATGCGTTCAGCCTATGGTGATGTCACACTGGTATCTGCTGGGAGAGTCCACTATATACTCCGTGAGAGAATGACAGTGGAAAGGGCAAATAAGATCTTAGTACTATTATGAAAGGAGGTTTGATCTTCCAAGCCCCCACATCCCAAGTTATTGTTAGGAGGTGACACAGAAATATAATTTTTCTTCCACCTTCTAAGTTCTTCTGGTGGGGCTAGTAATAAAATTAACATGAGACAGATTAACAGAAGAAAACACCTAAAATTTTTTATGGTGCACATAAGGGGGTGCCATAATGAGACCATAATGAGACCAGAGAAGGCACTCCACAGTTGAAGTTTGTTGGTCTTTTTGAAGCTAAGCAGAAGGTGGGTGATTGTGGTGTAGAACTTCAAGAGGTAGAAAGGTGCCCTGGCTATTGTTCAGTTGGTCAGAGCATCAGTCCTGTAAACCAAAAGGTGGGGTCATGAGTCCCTTTCCCTGCAGGACACATGCCTAGGTTGCAAGTTTGTCCCCTGTCCCCAGTCTGGGCACATATAAGAGGCAATCAATTGCTGTTTCTCACATCTATGTTTCTCTCCCACTTTTTCCTATCTTTTCCTTCTCTCTAAAATCAATAAGCTTGTCCTTGGGAGAGGATTAAAAGGTAGAGGGGGAGGGCAGGAAGTCAATTCGCATGGAGTTGGAAGATCAGGTATTTGGTAAATAAACATTTGCTGGGCCCTCTTTAACTATGCACACCGAGGGGACTGAGCAAATGGGCCTTGCTAGGTTCCCCACTATCACACTTGTTCATATTGAAGTCTTGTTGGTACAATCAGTGATGATAACTCCCTTTCTGGAGCTGATCTTCTATCTAAATTTATTTAGGCAGGTTAAAGGCCAAAGGTTCTTCCTGAATCTTTTTTTCCTTAATAATCGGCTTAAAATCAATATCCCAAAAAGGCATATTTTGGGGTGGCAAAACTTTGGTCCCCCTCACATACTAACAAAATTCCCTATTGTTTAAAGTGCCAGGGGAGTCTGATCTTTTGGTGTCTCTGCATCACACTGATAAAAGAGTTGTCTCAGGCCACACATTAAATACATTGCAACACGTAATCACAAAGAAAAAAAATCTCATAATGTTTTAAGTAAACTTATGATTTTGTGTTGGGCCACATTCACAGCCATCCTGGGCTGCACGCACCCCATGGGCCGCAGGTTGAACACCCCGGTTTACGCCATATTTTTGTCCTATTATTTGAATGTTTCCTAACTGACAGTTTTAGGGGCACTGGGAGAGTTTCCCCATGGTAGCCTCACAGGAGACCACAGGGGCCATAATGAGGCTACTCCAAGCAGTTTGGTGGACCACAGACAAGGACCTGTGGGAGCCAGTACAGGAAAGGAAGAGCAGGTAGCTGCCAAACTGTGATTGCAGCTGACATAATAGTTTGTGGATACCTATGAGGCACCCTGTTGGGGGTTCTGGAAATAATTGAGGAGCACTTTACAGGAGTGACTGTATCTTTTAACACATAATGGGTAGCATAAGTTACAGACAAAGGACATTAAACATGGGAAAGGGTGTGGCGATCAATTAGTGATGTCTGTCACAGGCACAAAATAATAGAGTGGTAGCAATAGTGTATCCTGCACTTGCTTACTCCTGGCTGCTCACTCCAAGGATGTATCCAGAGATGTCACTGTCATGAAGTGTCCTCATTCCCTCTGAAAGGGAAAGCCAAGTGCTGGAGTCTGAGAAACTCACGCCCCACCCCCCAGCCTTGCCAAGCAAGGGCTGCCAGGACTCCATTAAGAAAGAGGCCCTCCCACTTGCCCTTTGCTATCCACATCTCATTTTCTAACAAGACAGTCTGCCTCTGACATAGAGCATCCTGCTTCTGTTGTTTACCAGCTGTGAGACCTTAGAAAACTCATTCATCCTTTCCAAAGCTTCAGTTTGTCACATGGACACCTACCTGGGAAGTTTCCATAGTTAAAGCAAGATGACCCCTGCACAAAGACTTCGGCAACTCTGAAACTTGAGTAACACATTCATTTGGGAGATGATCTACATAGCAGAGAAAATAGGATCCTCCTTTTGGGTTTGGATACTAATAAACATACTTTAAAAGGGAAAGCAACTAACCATGTGCCATATGAGGCTACTTAAATTAATTAAAAGTAAATAAAACTGAAAGTTCAATTCCACAGTCATACTAGTCACATATAAAGTGCTCACTAGTGACATGTAGCCAGTGGCTACCACATGGGACAGCACAGATATGGAACTTTTAAATCATTGTACAAAGTTCTTATGGAGACAGTGCTGAGATACAGTCCAGCAGGGGTGACAGAGAAAAACAAAGAGCCAGACAAATACCTAATTGCACACCGTGACATTTGTCAGTGAGAAGTCACAGGCAGTGCCCTTTCCATTTTCAGGTGAGGAATAGAACCAGGGAAACCTCTATTTTTCATTCCCCCCAAAGTGAATAGAGCATTTAAGAGCCTGACATACCTCCTGGCACCTCCTAGGACTGTTCTTTCTAAGGCTGGAGACTGACAGAGACCTCTAGGTACATGAAGCTCATCTGTGATGATATCTAATCTTGCAGCAAGTGCTAGTTTAGCTAGTAGTTGAGAGAAACGGCCTTGGTTGTATCCTAGCTTTGCCAACTGTATGGTTGTAGGCCAGTAATTAATCACTCTTGACCTCAGTGTCTCCATCTGTAACATGGGGTAAATAATAGTACAATATGTGGCCTAGAACATTTCTCGGAGTATTAAATAATTTAAAGAAGAGTAAACAGAGCTGTGCCTGACACACAGTAAACACTATATAAGCTATTATGTTGAAGATGATGATGATGATACTCCATGAGTCCTTGAACTGTTTGCAGGGAGATGCACTTGCTACTCAATACATTTCTCTATTTTCACTCTTTGCTACCAAAAGTAACATCCTCCAAAGCTAAACTGGTCACCATTGTCAGGATCCCTCTATAAAATAAGCCAGGAAAGGGAATATAACCATAACCATAATATTAATTAACTCAGGCCCTGGCTGGTGTGTCTCAGTGCATTGAGCACCAGCCTGAGAAGCAAGGGGTCGCTGGTTCCATTCCCAGTCAGGGCGCAATGCCTGGGTTGAAGGCCAAATCTCCAGGCGGAGGCCTACAAGAGGCAACTGCACATTGATGTTTCTCTCCCTGTCTTCCTCCCCCGCTCTCTAAAAATAAATAAAATTTTTAAAAAATATTAATTAACGCACACTAAGGGCGTACATGCAGCACTTTATTTGTATTGTGTGTTTTATCTTTACAACAGCCCTAACAGGCATGTACTGCTAAAATTATCTCCTCCTTGCATATAAGGAAACTAAAGCTTAGAAGGTGAGCTTGCCGTGAAGGGAAAGAAAAGGATCTCGGCGTCAGTTCCACTAGATACCACCAGGTGGAACTGTCTATCCACTTTCCAATTCCTCAGTCTGGTGGGAACACTGAGGAGGGTCTGCCAAGTACTTAATGATGGCGCTTTGATTGCTGTGGGTCACTTGGTTGGAGGTCGGCCAGCAAAATAACAGGTTTCCGGGTTCAACTCCGGGTCAGGGCACATGCCTGGGTTGTGGATTCAGTCCCCAGTCAGGGGGAGTGCAAGAAGCAACCAATAGCTGTTTCTCTCCCCGCCCCCCCCTCTCTCCCCCTTTCTCTAAAAGTAAATTATCAAAATCTTTTTAAAAAATTAAATGATCACCAACTGTTTGTAAGGCACTGTTTTAGGCGCAGAGCATACATCAGTAAATAAAACAGGATACTTTTTCTGCCCTTTCTTGCATTTTTCCTTATAAATAACGATATTCCCGTGGATGCTTACTTGAGCTGCCAAGCAGAAAACCGGCTTGGCTGGGGGCAGACTTGTGGTAAGGAATGAGGAAAGGTCCGTGGTCCCCAAATATCAGAGCAGGCAACAACCCGGAAAGCAGTGTTATTCTGTCACCTTCCTGCCTCCCCATCCCCCATGCCAACCACAAGGAGGTGGGGAGCAGGGATTATCTCCCTGTGGTGTCCAGTAAGGCCGGAATGGGATGGTGTGAGGGGGATCTCTCCCTGAGAAACTAGAGTTGAGAGGGTCCTCAAGTTCTGGGGGTTTTTTAGGGGAGACTTGAGGAATCTGCTCTGTAAGTCACCTAGGGAATCAACCCTGTGGGAACAGCCTGTGGAACGAAACCTCCCAAGTCCAGTCGGAACAATGCCCACCGCGGATTGAACGGTGGGCTAGGAGCCAAGGTGAACTCGGCTGAGGTGCGAGACTGCCCCGGACACTTCCTTGCAGCCTGTCCCACCGCCGCTAGGTGCGCACGCGGACGTCCTGGCTGTGCCCAGAGTGTCTGCAAAGCGCAAACGCGGTGGCCCGGGGCCGCGAAGTATGTGCGCTCCTTGGGAGAGCGGTGGACGTGCGTGTACGTGGGTAATGTGTGCGGCGTTGGTGGTGGGGATCCTGCGTATGGACCCAAGAGAGGGGTGCACACATGTGGAAGTGTGACTATGACGCGGGTATCGACCCAGTGTAGCAAAGCGACAAAGGCACTGGAGGTTGGGGTCGGGGGGCGGGGGGTGTTAGGGGATGGAGTGAGTGCACCCAGGCGGACAAGGGCTGCGTTCCAACATGCGTAGAAGAGGCTAAGCAGCGCGGATGCAGTGGGCGATATACAGGGACAGTGGGGACTCTGGAACGTGCACAGCGGAACCCTCTCTGCGTTCTGGATCTGGTCCTGGGGGGAAGTTGCTGTTTAGGAAACCACGTTGAAGAGTGCCATGGGCGGGGTAAATGTTCGTGGGACTATCCTTCCGTTGTATTCCTGTAACTGGATCAACCCGGGGACGATTGGCGCGATTGTCTGGACTGTTTATGGAGCACTGTGAACGCGGAGGGGGGTGTCCTCAAATCTGTGACAATCAAGGGGGTCACTTCAGTATTCCGGGCAAGGACCGAGGAGCTAGCGCTGGTGAGTGAGGGCTGTTGCCGGTGGGTTCCGTGCGCGACAGTTAGCAAGGCAGGGGCGGGGACCGGGTCTCTGAGGCTCAGGGGTGGGACCTGCCGGAGGGGCGGGGCCGCAGCTGCTGCAACCAAGCGATCCTGCCAGGGGGCGCCTCGCTCTGTAGAGGTTCGTGAGGGCGATGCCTTGAGGCCAGACTTGGGTGCGCGCGGGGCGGGGGCTACAGCAGTGCAGCAGAGATGTGACACGACCGAGGGCCAGCGGGAGCGACGGCGCTACAGGGCCGCGGGTTGTCGGTAAGTGCGAGCCATGCTGATGGTGTGGAAGGCGCTGCGGGTACTCCAGAAACTTTTCCCGGGTGGACTTGGAAGGATTAGGGGGTCTGCTTCTTGAGCTTTTCTAATCCCCGAAGGGGTTAGTCTCTCGGGGAAGATGGGGAATCCGGACGCGAAGAGCCACATTCCGGCAGGAGAGAAGCCGCAGAGAGCACGGCTGGGAGGAGGGGGGAAGAATGGGGACCTTTGTCGGGGGTGAGGGGGTGGGGGCTGTGTCCCCGGACCAAGTAGAGGTCCAAGTCTCTGAGGAGAGTCTGCAGGCAACCACAGGTAAAGGGCAGCTGAGGGTAGTGTAAGGGAGTCCAGCCTTGCCCGAGTGACTCGTGGTGTGAGGGGAGTTTCGGGCAGGTACGGAGGCCGCGTAGCAAGCCCGCGGGGGCTGACCACAAACCTGGCAGACAGAGTGGGGGGCACAAGGACCGGGTTTTGGGGATGAGCTACCACACCTGATTCAGGGGCTGGGGGCCAAGCTCGCAGCTGACCGTGAGGACACAATACGGGACAAGAAGGGGACACTGCGGAAGAAAAGAGACTTGGCTGAGAACTGCGGCTGGAGGACCAAGGAGGGGCGGCCGCATACAATGGCAGGGGTGTTGGCGTTTCTGTACGGGCCAGGCTGGGGTGAAGACTCCTACGTTCCCTGTCCTTGGGGGACACGGACTCCCACCCCGGAATCCTTTCCTCCTGCACCGCCTCGGCCCAGGACAGGGAGCTGGTTAATCAGCTGTTTGGGGAGGGGGGGCCGACCTTGCCGCAGAGGACCTTCCCAGAGCAGCTCACGGTACTTTCCCGGCTCTCGTTCTGTCAATCGCAGGCCTAGCCAACCCCCGGGCCTTCCCTCACTCCCGCCCCCACTCCACCACACAAACACAAAGATACTGCCCTCCTTTCGCTAAGGGGGCAGCTCCTTTTAGCTCGGACAAAGGCCCTTGAAGTGTGGCGGACAGCGGCATCCCAGTCTGGGGCCCGGCCCACGCACCACATTGGCTGACCAGCTGTGCCAGGTTGAGAGAGGAGGGCGCACTTGAGCACAGCCGGAGAGGAACTGGGGGTCTTTGCAAAGACTAGAGAAGTTGGGGTCCGACGGAACCTAGCACAATAAGCCTCAGAACTTCAGCCAAGGAGACCTGATTTAGAAGTTTCCTTGGTTTGGGTGAGGGCTTTTGGAGGATTCAGGCTTCGAGTTGAACAGCACGCATATGAATGTAAATAGGGTGCGATCTGGCGTCTCTCTGCTGGGAGCCCTCCACGGGGCAGCTTTGTTTCTAGATTGAAGTGGACCTTTCCTATCCGTTCCCTGCTTTAAGTCTGAAAACGGGTCATCTTAGTTGGGAAGGGAAGAAGATGGAAAGCAGGAGTTGCCATTTGGTGCACAGCCAGCAAGACAAGAGGTCTTGTTAGAAATAGAAGCTCATAATCTTCATTGATTAATTTGTTATTTCAATAAGTGTGCCAGCTACAGAACTGGGTCTGGGACAGTACAGCGTATAACAAACAAGTGGGTGAACAAACACTGAACAAGTAAAAATGCAGTAGACATAACTTCCGTTAAGGGTGAGAGCCACCAGGAAAATCAAACAGGGTGCTGTAAAAGAAAGTGACAAGGGAAGAGTGCTCTGGGGAGTGGCATTTTAGTGGATCCCTGCAAGATGGGGGACCCTGTCACTGGGAGATCTTGGGAAGAGAGCACTGCAAATTCAAAGGCTTGGAGTGGGAATGAAGTTAGAGGAACTGAACAAAGGCCATTGTGACTGGAGCTCATAGGCAGATGCTTGTGTGTGGTGGGGGAGGCAGGACCGAATTGCAGGGACCAGCCAGACCTCCATCTTTTGAGCCATGGAAAGGAGTTTAGTTTTATTCTCTTTGGGCCAGTGAACCCTTAGAGGGTTTTAGGTGGGAAGCTATGGTATATGATTTTTAAAACTCCTCTAACCTCCGCAAGGACACAGAAAGCAACTTCTCTTTCATTCTGCCTCTTGGGATAGCAAGGTGCCAGGAGCCTCCTAAGGTCCTTGTCCAGCTTGCCAGCCAGTGGGGAGACTGCTTTGAGCCTGGTCAACCCTGCGAGTGCACTCAAGGATTGGCTCAGGTTTTAAAATCCACTCCCCACTTTTAAGCAGTTCTTGTCCAACCTAAGAGGCCACCTCCAAGAGCCCAGGGCCCCATAAACAATTCCACACAAAGCTTCCAAAGGGTTCTGAGTTAGTCATATTTTCTTGTCAGAATTGCAGCCCACAAGGAACCATAAAGCCCTACTGAGCAGCCAAGGATGCAATTTGCATTTAAATGATTGCTTTTATATACTGGATCAGAGCTGCTTTGCATATTCATGTGTAAAGAGCTGGTGTTCTGGCAACCCTATTTATTGACCCTTGACAATTATTAAACCCAAAGACCCCCAAACTGAGTGGTGGTATGGGCAGCGTTGGGAAATGAAGATTATAAAATAGTGTTATTTGGAAAACAAGGTGAGATTAGGCCCTTTAATGTCAGGAAAACTTGTAACAGTTTAATCCTACCCAAGCAGAAAAAGCACCAGTGGCACTTAGGGGAATGGGCTGGGACAGAATGTAATGTTGGGGTGTGTGAGGAGGCTGGCTCCACAGCCTCCTCCTGGGCCCCTGCCAGACATGGGGTGGGCAAAACAGGTGCAGTAGAAAGACCTTGAGGTCAGGATTTGGGAGAAATGGGTTTTAGTCCCAACTTGATCTGTAAATTACAGCAAGCCTCTGGCCAAACTGCCTCACCTCTACCTTCATTTTCCCAGCATGACTATGGGAACCATGACTGTCTTTTCAGTAAGCAGGAACCCTCTACTCCGTGTGCCAAGCACCTTGCTGGGTACTTTTTATGTACTTGTCACAGCAGCCTTTTGAAGGCGGCACTGTGGTTATCTTCATTTACAGACAAAGAGATGAGGGTCAGAGAGGTTAAGTGATGTCCAGTGTCACAGAGTTGTCTGGCTTCTCTCCCACTCCCAAGGAGACTCCTGGGAGTGTTAATTCTGTACCAGCTATTTTCTGGGTACTGAACTAGAGCTCCTTTTCACCTGCTAATTTTTTTCTTTCCTTCCCATGTTCCAGTGCCTCCCCACATCTTTAGAGAAGGTGGGTTTGCGATGCCTCTGATCTGCTGGGCACTGGGAGGGTACACTGTGACAGAGGATGAGTAACCTCCTTGGATCCCTAAAGGCAGCAGCCAAAGTGAGGCTGGTCAGAATGATGTGTTCCGGAGCAGTTTTGTAGAACTTGTATCTCCTTTCACATAGGTGGATAGGAAGGCCGGGTGGTGGGTTCCTGAAATGGTTCATGTCTTGTCTCTGAGTGGCCTGGCTCTAATTCTTTATCAGAGATACCCAGTTTCAGGGGCATCCAAGATGGTCCTTGGGTCCTCCGGCCCAGGTTTCTCTCAGGAAAATAACCCTTACAGTGAGGTTCCCACTCAGGAGAGTTTGTGGATTCCCTGGGCAAACCACCCCCAAATGTATCTCCCTTCCCGCCACTTCAGGGACTTCTTTGCTTGGTATCTGATGGGGGAAGCTAGAAACCAGTGGTGGACAAACACCTGGGTGAACCCTGCTTCCAACCATGCCTCCTGAATAAGCAGTCAGAAAAGTTTACAACCTCAGACCAGGGAGCATTTGCCAATATTTTCTATTTATTTAACTGACACTTTATATAAGTGCTTACCCTACTTAACTGCTGTCCTAAACTCTAATTATATTTTAATTCTCATGAAAGCCTTATTCCATGGGTACTGTTATCATCCCCATTTTGCAGATGAGGAAATGGAGACATGAAAGGTTAAGTCAGTTGCCCAGGGTCACAGGGTACTGCTACCAAGGGGCAGGGGTGAGACTTGAAACCAGAAGGTCTCATTCAGAGGTCACAATGCAGGGTGTTTGGTGAAGAGAGGGGCTGGGGGAACAAGTCTTTGCATGGTTTTCAAGCAGGGAGTATTGTCATTCCTGAACAAAGAATCTTTCCTGCACTCTTTCCAGCTTCTGCTGGCCCAGTTCTCAGATACCAAGGAGCTGCTCTACCACCTGCTGGCAGAGAGAGAGACAGAGACAGACAGAAAGAATTTAAGAACATCTGAATGAGTCACATCTCTGGGAGCCTGGCTAGAGCTAAGGTGATTAATATGTGAACCGAGTTTTACACATTCGTTCACACTTATTCATTCCTTCTTTTGAGAAGCTGCAGGCTACTATCCCACAAGTTTGTTACTATCTACTTATCCTGACCCAATCAACTTTCCCTGGTGGCTGATTAGAAACCTTTAATCTGTATTGTTCAGTTCAGGGTACTTGGAGAGCTGCTTAGATGGCTAGTGCAACAGAAGGGCTTTCTGGACAGTGGGTGCCACCTGCCGAATATCAGGTGGGCATCCCGGCATCCCTGCTACATGTGTCTGAGCTTCTCCAATCTCAGTGTGCCCTAGAGTTCTAACAAGTTCTTGGGTGATACTGCTGCTGTTGCCCATCCAAGGGTGAAACTTTGACTTAAACCTCTCAGACTCTTAGTCCCCTCCTCTATAAGATGGGAATGAAAACATCTGCCCTGTTGGTGATGTGAGGGTTGGAGACAGTATTTAGCAATTCATTCATTCAGCAACTGAATTGTGAGCTTTGCTCATGTGCCTTGCCCTGGGGAATCCATGCAGAACAAGACAGACAAGGGCCTCGGGGTAGTAGTGGGAAAATAGACCAAAAGAGTAATAATATAAAATAATTGAAAATTGTGGCACATGTGACAAAGATCAAAAGTACTTGCACAGAGCCTAATGGGAGTGGAGAGAAACTAATTCAGATAGACAGGCCAGGAAAGGGCTCACCAGGGGACATTTGTAGAGCCCTGGTCTGGGATAAGAGCCCATCAACAATAGTGCAATTGTTTGTCTCTTGGCTCCACTTCTTTCTGGCTGTGTGAACTTGGACAAGCCAGCTGATCTCCCTGTTTTATTTCCTGTAACATGGAGATAGTAACAGTACTTGTTTCATAGTGTCCTTGCGCAGATTATAAAGGCATTAATATGTGACGTGCATAAAGAGTTCCTGAGCATAGTAAGGGTGATGAGTTAATGGTTATTGTCACTGTCACTATAACAGTAATAGAAAAATCTGCAGGGCAATTCCCAGAAACCCTAAATAAGCTGAACTCAGCTTCATTCTGTGAAATAGTATGTAGCCCTCCTCCTGATTATCTTGGACATTGTTCTATAGAATAAGTGAGGTGGCTGTCACCTCATGGGCCTCCTTGTCAGTAATAAAGACTCACCTGAAACAGCTGGACCTTACTAAAGCCCCTGACTGCATAGATATTGGGTATGAAGAAATTACTGGAAAAAGAGGGCCCCATGATGTTGAAGAAATAATAGAACTTCTCTGTTAGCAAGTAACACAAACCCAGCTCATACTGGCTTAATCCATAAAAGGCAAGTTGATTGGCTGCTAGAACTGCAAATAGCAGGATACTTGGCTTCAGACATAGTTGAATCCAGCTATTCGATGTATTAGGACTCTATCATTTGTCCATTCCTTTTGGGTCTGCTTTATTCTGGGACAGGTTCTTTTCCTATGATAGTAAATAGGTCCTCTCCAGCTCTAAGCCTATGTCCTTTTAGCTTAGAAGACCTCTTTCTAGTTAATTCTAGCAAATATCTTAAGGCCTGTCCATGAATCAATCAGCATGGCCAAAAGGTGGCATAAATGTTCTGAATGACCAGGTCTGGGTCAGGTACTCGGAGCTAGGGCTTATGGTGGCTTTCCAAAGGAAAATCCATAGCTCTTTTCAGGAATGGGAGAAATGGATGCTGGGCAACTGCTCTCCTGGAAAGAGAGGGTTCCAACCTCAAGAAGAAAGCAGAAATCAAGGGTATGTCAATTTACCATGTTAGAAAGGAGTGGGAGCCAAGAGACCTGGACCACCACCAGTGCGCTGCTCAAGTTCAAAAGCTTGGTCGCCATCTTGCTCTCTTCATCATACCATTGGTTTCTTGTTGTGGTTGGAAGGCCAATTAGAAAGGTGGAGGACCAACTACCAGTTTCTGGCCAGGCCTGAAGAAAGGAGATGTCCTCAAGAGTGGAGGCAGCTAAGGAAGGGACATGAGATGCAGCCCTGGGGCTGAGAGGCCTGGCTGGTTACCTGCCATTTTCCCTATCAACTCTGACCTCGAGTGGCCTCAAACTTTCTCAGCCTTGGAACTATTGACATTTGGGGCCAGATAATTATTTGTTGTGGCTGGTGGGGGTGAGATACAGCTTGTGCATTGTAGAATGTTTAACAGCATCCCTGGCTTCTACCTACTAGATATTGGTTGCACACCACCTCCCCAGTTGTGAAAATCAAAAATGTCCCTAGACATGGCCAAATGTTCCCTGGGGTCAAAATTACCCCTGATTGATTATGACTGACCTAAGAGGTATGTGGAGAGAAGGTTGGGGTTCAACACTCCAGAAGCACATTCCTACTTCTCATCGTCCCAGCCACATTGGTGGTGAGTCTGGCTGCCCTATAACCTATAGAAGCTGAATGGTATGTGTCCTGTTGTTACTTACTGAAATGTATCTTAATTGTGTTTGTTGTTAATGATGTCTGGGGGAACTCCACCATAGGGCCCCACCACTGTGTCAGAGGATATAATGGCATTTGGTTCTGACATACCCAGTTCTTAACTTTTCATTTCCAGCATGCTATAGGACCTTGTGATAAACAGCTCTGGCCAAGACAATATTTTTCCAAAGAGTGGGAAATGGGGATATGCCACTGGATATGCAACAGGCAATATAATATTTCAAGATATGTATATTTCAATGTGCTGTTTTCTTTTAAATAAGTTGATTTCAAGGACTCAGTGAGTCAGTTAATTAAATAATTATATAGGTGGTATGTAGACAAAGCCTAAGTGGCTGAGGTGACACTCCAGTGACTTATGTGGCAGAGCCACAAATAGTGGCTGGATGGTGGGAAAGTTTGCCTGCATCTGGGGTGCATCCTCACCACAAATTTGCTTAAGCAGGATGTTGTATTAGAGCATCTCTTGCCAGATGCCATCTCTTGCTAGCCTGCTTTCTGTCATCTACAGGCAAAGGTGACAGTCCCTACAGCACCAAGCTTCTTCTCTGTCAGTGTTGTCAATAATTTAGCCCAGTCACTGCTCTCACAGCCAAGGCAAGATAGAAGCTATTCACAGGATCTTATAAAGGATCGGAGAGAGATAGTCAATACCACATTTACTTAGGGAAGCCCCAGAGGCCCACTGGAGCTGCCTGAGGTGGCTGGTTATAGGTTCATATATAGTTGGAGCTAAGGCAGAGAATTTGCTGGTGATGCCTAGAAAAGGGGAATGGGGCAAAGCTGTACAAGCCAGGGCTTTCTGGAGGTGAGGCTTCCTTCACAGGCAAGGAGCAGTGATGGTGGGTAGAGGAAAGAGTCCTGGTGACTTTGGTTTTTACTAAGCATCTACTTTGTGCCAGCACTGTGCTAGTGTTTGAATCTATACCAGTAATGCTTATCTAGTGATTTTACCTCCCAGGGGACATTTGGCAATGTCTGTAGATCCTTTGGGTTGTCACAATTGGGGGAGGTGGGTTGCTTTAGACATCTAGTAGATGGAGGCCAATGATGCTGCTAAACATCCTACAGTGCCTGGGACAGCTCTGCAACAACAAATGATGCTAAATGTCAATAGTTTCAAGGTTGAGAAACCCTGTCTATGCTGATGAACAAGAAAGACTGCTAGCCATGAAGAAAGACAGAAAGGGAGGACAGAAGGGAGGGAGAGTAGAAACAAAGTAAACAAGCACAAAGGTGACAGATGATTAGACAAAGAAATAGAGAAGAGGCTTTGATAAAGAGGAGTAGGAATGTGACCTTGTCCCAGGTCTGAGTGCATGGATGTTAGAGCTGAGACCAGCAGGGGGAGGAACAGTATTCCATGCTAGGGGTCAGAGGAATATCAAACAGAGGAAGCCAGAAGGGTGAGTAGATGTGGGGTAAGGCTGTCACTATGACTGCTGTGCGGACTCCAGCTTGCATGTGGACCAGAGAGTGTGCCGAGGAGCATCCTGGGGGCATCCCTGGGACAGATAACCTAGCTTACAGAAAAAGGGTGGATTCTTGAGATACCTTTGGAGGAGGGATGAGATGTGTCAAAACTCAGGATAGAACCCAGGAAGATGGTTCATTTTGGGTACACAGTACTACATTTGAAATGTTGGGAGGCTTCTAGGAACTGGGTTTTGTGACCTTGGGCAAGTGTCCTCACCTCCTGAAGCCTTTTTCGTCAACAGTGTAAGGGTTGAATGTGTTGAGTTCCTGTCCTAGAATGAGTTATCACTAAGTGTTAGCTGTTACCACTGAGAGATTGAAATGGTGATGTATGCCATTCTCCCAGCACAGCCTTGGTGTGTGACTATCTCTTTAAAGTTTCATTTTACTCTCTTATTTCTGAAGAGGTCAGATATGGCCTAAAAAATCAAAGAATAAGAAAGGGTATTCAGAGAAAATGAGCATCCCTCTCAGCCTCTCTTCCATCTACTAGTGATAATGATTCATAGTTGTTTACTGGGCCTGGCCAAGGGTGTTATATGGGAGTCAAAATCCATCTACCACCCTACCCCCAATGCCATAACTCACAGTGTTGCCTGGATAAATGGTGACTTATCCTAATGTCCAAAGGCACCATATGGGCTAGCAAGTTTGAAATTGGGCAGAGAAGAAGTCAGTAGAGTGTGAGTCTTATGATGAACTGATCTTTTTCCCCCACCACCTTCCAACTTTTCTGAAATTTTCATGCTGTCAGAGAGAAAGATGAGAGCCCACCAAGTGCTTGCCTTCCTCCTGCTCTTTGTGATCACCTCTGGGGCCTCTGAAAACTCCAGCACATCCCGGGGCTGCGGGCTGGACCTCCTACCTCAGTACGTGTCCCTGTGCGACCTGGACACCATCTGGGGCATCGTGGTAGAGGCAGTGGCGGGGGCAGGTGCCCTGATCACGTTGCTCTTGATGCTCATCCTTCTGGTGCGGCTGCCATTCATCAAGGACAAGGAGAAGAAAGACCCTGTGGGCCTCCACTTCCTATTCCTCCTGGGGACCCTGGGCCTCTTCGGGCTCACATTTGCCTTCATCATCCGGGAGGATGAGACTATCTGTTCAGTCCGTCGTTTCCTCTGGGGAGTTCTCTTCGCACTCTGCTTCTCCTGCCTCCTGAGCCAGGCTTGGCGCGTGCGCAGCCTAGTGCGGCAGGGCAAGAGCCCATCAGGCTGGCAACTTGTGGGCACGGCGCTGTGCCTGACGCTGGTGCAGGTCATCATTGCTGTAGAGTGGCTGGTGCTGACGGTCCTGCGTGACTCGAAGCCTGCCTGCGCCTACGAGCCAATGGACTTCACTATGGCCCTCATTTATGACATGGTACTGCTTGTGGGCGCCCTGGCCCTGGCGCTTTTTACGCTGTGCGGGAAGTTCAAGAAGTGGAAGCAGAATGGGGCCTGCATCCTCCTCACAGTCTTCTTCTCTGTGCTCATCTGGGTGGCCTGGATGACCATGTACCTCTTTGGCAACGCAGAGCTGCAGCACGCAGATGCCTGGGGTGACCCCACCTTGGCCATCACACTGGTGACCAGTGGCTGGGTCTTCGTCATCTTCCACTCCATCCCTGAGATCCACTGCACCATCCTGCCCTCCCCACAGGAAAACACGCCCAACTATTTCGACACATCCCAGCCAAGGATGCGAGAGACAGCCTTTGAGGAGGACATGCCATTGCCGCGAACCTACATGGAGAACAAAGCCTTCTCCATGGATGAACACAATGCAGGTATAGTGGTTGCTGCCTGCTGGGTTAGGCTCTGGGGCTTTTTGTCCTGAAAGGACTCTCTTCTTTTTCTCCGGTGGGGATAGGTGGTCCAGGGGAAAGTCCTGGAAAATCTGAGCCCACAAACATTGACCCCTGTGTGGAAAATTCATTTCTGGGCCAGAAATGAATTTTTATTTAGAATTTTCCCTATACATTGCCAGCTAACTTAATAAAAATCCAGGTTTCTGGCTTCTTTTGAAAAGTTGGATCTGACAGTGCCTGACCACCTTATAGCAACTGTCTGGAGCTGGCTGGAAGGCTCTGCCTCTTAACCCACACTACATTATAGCTTCCCCTTTAGATGGGAATCCACTTTCTGTTTACCACATTTCCCACCATTCCCTACTTTCCCTGACCCAGCCACTCTAACATGTTAACATTAATTGCCTGGCTCCCTGGAAGTGTTTGTACTTGCAGCTCATGTGCTAGATGACGTGAGGGACAATGCTTGTGTCCCCTCCCCTACTTCTGGCATCAAGAATATATGAATTTGGGCCCTCAAGTCAGATGTCTGGGCCCAGATACTGTGTCTGCCACTTCCTAGATATATGGCTTTGAGTAAATTACCTTGCTAAGCCATAGTTTTTCTCATCTGTTAAAAGAAAAAAAAAAGACAGAATGTACCTCATGGAGCTGTAGTGAAAAGTAACATGCTGTGTGTAACATACTGAGGGGTTCCCATGGTACCTGGCATGTTGGGTGTGCATCTTGGTTGGTTTCTCCTGAAAGTAGGGTCTGAGACCAGGTGCAGTTGGTCGACTTGGGAGTTCAGGGTAAGGGATCATCTCTAAGAGCCCAGAAGGCTGTTCAGGGGTTATGATGAGCAGAGGCTAGAAACCTGGCCAGTTCATGGTGTCCCAGGGGAGTCACCTCTTACTTGGCTCCTTCTGAAACAGGTTCCTCCTTGTCTGAGCCCTATGGATTCCCCTGGGACCTCAATGGTAATGGGATTGCCTGAAACAGATGTAAATTTTTGTCCATTCATTATTAAATTGGTCTGTCACTTTTTCAGGTCTCTGTCAACCCCAGAAAGTTAAGAACTTGATGGTCTAGTTTTCTTTCAGTGAAATAAGGATGCAAGAACTCTTCAAGTATTAAGTTCTTCAAAAGTAAGGATGGCTAGCCTTTACTACATGCTTATCATTGACCAGGTACCCTTCTGAGTATTTTAGTCATTAATCTCATTTGATGCCTTCAACAACCCAATGAGGTCCGTGTTGCATGTAGGAAACTGAGGAAGAGCTGAGGTGTAAACCCAGGTGGGTTGGCTTCAGAGCCCACGTGCTTGACCATTCTGCCACAGAATTACTCTTCTCAAAGCACACTGATCAGTGAGATTCTTAATCTCACTGATATGTCAGGAGAACTCTGTGCATTGAGAAGACAGTGGTTATCAGTTCCATTTTACAGAGCAGGAAACAGGCAAATTGTTCAACTCAGTGCTATAAGTGCAGAGCAGGGAAGAGAAAAGCTGATTTTGTGGTTCCTGTTACATGCATCTTTTCCTGTGAAAATGTATCCAGTACCTCATACCCACATAAGATCCAGAGATCAAGGGAAACTGGGATCCAGGTTGATAACAGCAGTGCCAGAGATGGCTCAGGGTGGTGGATTTCCAAAAGGGCCTCCCCCCGCATCTGTTTCACACCCTGACATGTACCAATGCCAAGTATCTGTCTCTTAGTCGCCCTCTCTTTTCCAAAACAAAAATAGCTTTAATATTCCTTTCTGATGAGAAAAGATCAATAATAATCTTGGAGAAATTTCATTAGGAAGAAATAATAAAAAGTGCTCAAAATACCCTTGCCCAAAAGCAGCTCCTGCTGTTTGCTCCCATCTTGGCCAAACATCTCTACATATACAGTCTCCCTTTCTCTCTCTCTCTCTCTCTCTCTTTCTCTAACTTTCTCTCTCTCTCTCTTTCTCTCTCTCTCTCTCTCTCACACACACACAGGACATATGACAACCCCATAGAGTCATTCTTAACCTAGCTGCAAAGAAGAATTACTTGAGCAGCTTAAAAAAAATTATCAGTGCCTATCCCCTCATTCTGAGTAAGTCTCCTTTGGGTTTAGGTATTTTTTAAGCTCTCCAAGTGATTCCAAGATGTAAGCAGGTTGAAACCTCTGGGTGGTGTACAGTGTACTTGTTTAGATCAGTATCATGGCTGAAGCCTTTCTAGATCAGTGACTGCAGAGCTTCAGCATCCTTTTCAAGATACAGAGCTTTCCATTAGGCACCATAATTAATTTTCTAATCTTCAGCTGGCAAGTATTCCGCTTGTTGTCTGGCTTTTTATTTATTTTTTTTTTTTGCATTTTTAAAATTTTTCCTTTCCAGTTGAAATTCAATATTATATTAGTTTCAGGTATACAACCCAGTGGTTTGACATTTATATAACTTATGAATTGATCACCACTGGTGATAAGTCTAGTACGTACACATAGTTATCACAATATTATTGACTATATTTGCTATGTTGTACTTTACATTCCCATGACTATTCTGTAACTACCAATCTCTACTTCTTAAATCCTTTCCCTTTTTTTACCCAATCCCCCAACACCCTCCCATATGACAACCATTAGTTTGTTGGAGTCAACATTCTTATCCATTCATCTCTGTGCCTTTGATCAATTAACTCCTTGCCATAAATAAATAAATAAACAAATAAATAATCCTAGACTGCACCTAAAGAGGCACCAAAGATTCTGCACCTTTAAATCTTGATAGATACTGTGAGACAGCCCTCCAGAATGGTGGACTAATTTTCTCTCCCCCTTTAATCATTGTATGAGAGGCCTATTGTCCCTACTTCTTTACCAGTCTTGGATGTTCTTAGACTTTTAAAAATAGCACTGTTTTTGCATCATCCCAAATATGTATCCACCAAAATTTACATGGGACTGGACAGGTCAGGCTCCAGGCAAAGTTAGTTCCCTCAGAAAGCTCACAGAGAGGCTAAATTGGCATCCTGGCTAGGGACTGCCTTTGTTCTAGAAACCCTTGCTTTGCTAGCTGGGGAATGTCTAAGCACACTCCCTTGCCACAGTGAGAATAGCTGTTGTCATCTGTGGTGCTGACCTCAGCCAGCTTATATTTTAAGAAACTGGGCCCCATAAAGGGCCTTACCCAGGGGCTGCAGTGGCCTGTATTTCTTGAATTTTAACCAACTAGACTTGCAGACTCTCTTCCCTTGAAAGTTTTCCCTGACTCTCTAAGAGGTGTAAAGAGTATTCCCCAGGCTGGTCTATGGCTCGGACAAGCCCCAGCAGTCTTTCCTTCCTTATTTTCTTCTCCGGATTGAGACCCCCTGATATACACAACTTCACCACCCTGCTGCTTACTAATAGAATCAACAAGGTATGTGAGTAAAAAGGTATGAGGTATGTGAGTAAAAAGATGAAAATACATTGAAGGATGTAGCACATCAGATCACATCTTGTAAGGCGTTACCAAGGTGCATTAAATGTTCATCTTTCAAAGAAGCAAGAAAGAAAAGAGTTCTGTCTTCTCTTAGGGGATTTGGGCTCTTAGATCTCATTAGGGCCAAGGACTATTTAAACTCTAATCCTTAGCTTCCAGTGGAAGCTTTGGAGCCAAGGCTAATTTAGCCTCACTTGCAGAGTCAAGACAGGGACAGGCTGGCATTCAACCTATGATCTTTGATTCCTGTGGGGACCCTCTTATGGGTGAGCCCTGCTTGCCTTTCAGAGCGGACCCTGGTCAAAGTGGGCTGTTAGCTGGTGTTCTTCAAGTTGCAAGTAATAGAAATCTGATTTGAACCAGCTTAAGTAAAACAAAACAACAACAACAACAACAAAACTAGGTATCAAGCTTCAAGATTGGTTAGATCCAAGAAGCTCAAGATGACAGATATGGTCTCTCTCCATCTTCTTAACTCTGTTAGCATCATGGCAACCCACAGCTCTAGGCTACACAGAACATTTCCTAGGAAATGTGAGCAAAACTCCCAGAGTTATCTCTGATTGACTTGATGGCCATGCCCGGAACAAATCAGCATGGCCAGAGAGGTTTGATACCCTGATTGGCTAGGTCTAAATCACATGCCTACCTCAAAGCCAGGGGAGAAGGCAGCTGTAGCCAACTCTCAGGGACCTAGAATGTGAGAGAGATGTTTACCAGAGAAGCACAAATAGCCATTACAGAGACAGGCTCTCTGGCCAAGCCACCCCACAGCTGGGGAGTAGAGTTGAGCATCTGTTGGAGCCAGATTCTCCCATCACAACTGGCTGGGTCTCTGTACTTATAAGGAAAGCTGTCCTGTTTGGTCTTCCCTCTCTTCAAGCAGGTCTAGGCTAGGAATTGAGACTGGTGAGAGTCCATGGATGGTCTCCTCTGCCCCCTACTGTGCCCTGGCACCCCCTTATCTACTTTCTAGGAAGGGTATCCTTACTGAGCACATGCTTAAGGGGCTGTTGAAGGCTTGGAGATGCTAAAGCAAAAGGCTTTTTGTAAGTATGTCTTAGATAGGGATATCCAACCCATGGCCTGTGGGTCACATGCAGCCTAGGATTGCTATACACAAAATCATAAATTTACTTAAAACATTATGAGATTTTTTTTGTGTGAGTACATGTCACAATGTATTTTATGTATAGCCCAAGACAACTCTTCTTTTTCCCATGTGACCCAGAGACACCAAAAGGTTGGACCTCCCCTGTTAAGAACATGTGTTCCCTACACTGCCATAGTTTCTTTGGTCCAGTCTGGGCTGAGCTGTCCCTAATGCCACTTAAATTCAAGTTGCTTCTAATTAACTAAGTGTGGTAGTTAAAAACATACTATTTGGAGTCAGTATGGTGTGATAGTTATGAACACAGATTCTCTGATTGAGTTCAAATGCTGGTTCTGCCATTAAGCTCTGTGACCTTAGTCAAATTACTTAATCTCTGTGCCCCAGGTAAAGTAGAAATAATAAAAGTACCTATTGTGCTATGAAAATTAAATGAGTTAATATATGCATTGCTTCAATTTTTCTCAGTGCCTGGGTCCTGTTTGTCACTCTATGAAAGTTAGCAAGGTTGTTTTGGTCCCTGCCCCAAGGAATTTGTAAAAATGCCAAGCTTTCTTGCTACTTTTTAGTCAGAAAGATGACTCCCTTCAGGGAAGACTTTTAAGACAGGCTTTTCTTAGCAAAGGGAGATTTGTAACTTCAGTGAAAATGAAGATGCCATTGCATAATTAAGATGGACTTTTTTCTTGATTTTTAAATAGCACTACTTTTTTCACTATTTTTAATAGACTTTTTTTAAGAACAATTTTAAGTTTATAAAAAAATTGAGTAGGAAATACAGGGAGTTCCCACAAACCCCTCCCATGGTTTTCCTATCATTTACAACTTGCATTTGTTACATTAGTGCTGCAGCTAGTGAATCAATATTGATAAATTATTCTGAATTAAAGTCCCTAATTTACATTTTAGACAGCACTCTTTGTTTGCACAGTTCTATTGGTTTGGACAAATGCATCATGTCATGTATCCACTATTATAGTTATCATACAGAATAGTTTCACTGCTTAAAATTGCCCTGTATTCCACCAATTCACCACCACCCCTCAAGCCCTAGCAATCACTAATTCATTTACTGTCTCTAGTTTTGCCTTTTCCAGAATATTATTGTTGGAATCATATAGTATATATGCTTCTTTCACTTAGCAACATGATTTAAGTTTTCTTCATGTCTTTTAGTGTGATTAAGTTTATCTTTATTTAAAAAGGGGGGGTGTATAAAAAGGGGATCTCTAAAAGTACACAACAAATGAAACATCATTTACCCACCTTTCAGAGGTAAAAAGTGCCTGCATACTTTTATATTTTTGTTTCAGATCTCCCTTTCTTTTCTGTTTAAAAATAATCCTACCTGTCTTGTTGGAGTACCTCTGAGCTCTTCACAGTGACTTTCCCATGCAGTGTACCTTGATGTCCATGTTCTTTCCTATCTCTATGTGTATCCAGAAATAGTGAACATTATTGAATGTTGTGATGTTGAACTTGACATGAATGGTATTCTGTAGCCAGGAGGTCTTTTGTCAGAGGAGACCTTCTGGGGGATGCAGAGGTGCTTCCTTCCTTGTCACCTGTGGCCTGCAGGAGCTGGGGAGGGAGGGATAGATGGCAGGCCCTCTCTACCTCCAGCAGGCTGCAGCCTGGACTCTACAGACTTCCCAACCCCACTGAGATGGGGTAAGCTCCAAGAGAGCCAGAGAACAAAGCCCCTTTGTGACTTTTGTTTGGAATCAGGCTTGTGACATAGGGGAGGAGGGAGGAGAGAATGTGTGCCCGGAGTATGATGTTGATTCAGGGGAAGAAAACAAAGTTGTCTTTTTTTTTTTTTTTTGGTGTTTTTGTGTTGCTTTTCCCTCCCTCCCTCAGCTCTCCGGACAGCAGGATTTCGCAATGGCAGTTTAGGAAACAGACCCAGTGCTCCATTTAGAAGCAATGTGTATCAGCCAACTGAGATGGCCGTTGTGCTTAATGGCGGGACAGTAAGTATTAAGTGGTGATGTTTTGGTAGCAAGCCTAAGAAAAGTCAGTGTGTGGGGGGCGGGGGCAGCTTCAACAGGGACACACTGCTCTGCAGAGGCTGCTGATGGGCCTGCAGAGACAGGGCTCAAGTAGACATCTTGTAGCTAGAATGCATGCAAGGCTTCCATTTTTCTTCTGCCCCCTTTCTCCATGCATGGAAGATCCACCTGTACTTAGTGTACCACCTGTAGATTCATTTGTAAGGGTCACCATTTCTTGGGCTCTTGTACCCAGTAAATTCTCTGGTTTCATTTTACAGAAGGTACCCTCCATTCTGCCTGTGAGGTAACTTTTAGGAAAAGCCCAAACTTATGAAGCCCTGGCAAATTTTGCTGGCATCCAACCTACTTTAGGCCCCCTTTTATTCCTCCCTCTATCTCTGTGCCCTAGCTGGATACCAGGTTGCCCTGCTATCTCTCCCTAAGAATTGTCTTGAGAAATGGAAGTAATTGTCATTTCTCTCCCATGAACACAAAAGCAGGTTTACTAGCTGACGCCAAACAGACATCAGCAGAATTGTCACTGTTTGTGTTTTGCCTGTGAGAATGACATCATTTTGCTTCTCCAGTGATCCAAAGACGCATTCTCATTCCCACATTTAATTTCTAGCCATAGCTCTGCGCTTATTTCTGAACAACGCGTGGACCAGTTTACACGTGTAAATTGGATTTTCATTCTTTCTGTTATGTGCCAAGCCCATAACTCAGCCTGAGCTTCTTTTGTTTTTGATGTAAGCCAGGGATGGTCTTTGATTTCTAGAGGGAACTTGTGTTTTCCTGGATTTGTGAATGCTATTAGGCACTGGTTTGCATGGGTATGGAATAAGTTCAAAGGCAAAAAAGACTCACAAATTTGCATTCTGAAGCCCCCCTGCAATCCACTGGACTGTTCAAATGGATTTTGGGTGCCAAAACAAATCTAACTCAAGGCATCCATCCACCAGTGTGTTATAATTAATATGGTTATAAAGTGGCCTCATTTGTCACTCTTAAGCCCTCTTAATACCGTCAAGACATGAAAACACCCTGAACTTGGAAAGTGAAGAGAATTTATAGCTAAGAATGTAATGGCATAACACATAGTGGCTGCTGCCTCTTTTGGGAACTTCAGTCCATTATGAAAAAGCCAGGTACTAATCTTTGGCACATTGTTAATGTGTTGGTTCTGATGTTGACTTTGTACAGCACAGAGTTCTTAGTGTGTTATCCTTATTTCCAGATCCCAACTGCTCCACCAAGTTACACTGGAAGACACCTCTGGTGAAAGACTTAAAGTTACAGAGAACTCTTACAGATTTTATTCCCTGGCTGTGTCTTTCTTGAGGGAGATATCAGTAACAGTAGCTGAACAAGGCTGACTCACAGCCAGATTTGGAAATCCTAGACAAGGGGATTTTGTGTAAATGTGAACACTGCTGAACTTAAAAGCTAACACCAACTGCCCCCCCTACATACACACACTACCAAACCAACCTCAGTCCTGCAAGCTAAAGCAAAGCTAATTGCAAATAATATTAGGCTCACTCAAATACATGGCCAAGAAGACTGTTTCATCCTCAGAGGGTAGACTAGAACCAAGTTCACAGCCAGCATGCCAGCATCAGCCTTCCTCAACCCCTGGTGGCCTCTTGGAGGTTTCACTGAGGAGGACCAAGGGAGCTGTTCCGTCAGCCTGCACATTTCAGGGGAGTCAGGAGCAGTTCAGGAGGTTGTGGGTATGATTCCAAGGAGAGGCCCAATCAAATCATGTGGTGAGCCTTACAACCCAGAGTGGTGGAGGGATGCTATCATGTGCCCAAGAGGAGATACTGTCTGTGAGTTGAAGTGTTCATCACATCTAGAAACTGATGACTCCTCTGAACTCATGTCTATGACAGGAAAACAAGCCACTTCCCTCCCTCAAGTTACTACAGCAACACTCTGGCCTGAGGCAGCAGTGTCCTCTTCACTTGATCATCTCTCCCTCTTCCAGCCTTTACCAGTGCTCGTCCAAGCCCTCTCCCAATTTCATCTCCATTCATTTCAAAGGCTTAGATGGGGCCACGAGTGTAAAGCTTCTGGGTTGCCAGGCCAGAAGGCCGGCACCACAGCACATTTTCCCTGATAGTATCACATGGCAGGGTATCCCACAGGTAGCCTCTAGGATGATGACTCTGCTGCTAATGTACAGTGAGTTCTTGGATTTTTACATTGGTGTAGTAAAAGTTCCAGGGTTGGGTGGAGCATTCAAGGCTTTCTTGCTGCTTTTAGAGGGAGTGGGGTACATTTTAACTTGGTGTTCTGCAAGTTCCATAAAAATGGTTTGACTCTTCAAGCCCATTGTTTCTGTCATGGTTTCCATTTGTTCTCAGCAAGTCATTCCTTGGTTCTTTGGCATTTCAAACAACTTGGCCATTCAAAGCGCCATGTTTTCTGCACTGTTTGGCCAGCATAATCACTAATAATTCAAAGCAAAGTCTTAACCTGACAACACAGAATGTCTACATGAGGTTGGATCCTTTTGCATATACTCTAAGCACTATATTGCTTTTTTTTCTATAGAACAATCCATAAGCCTTTCACCTTTTAAAGAAAATGAAAAAGGTTAGTGTTTGGTAAGGGCAAGCTGACCTCTTCATAAGCCAATGTGTCTGAGCTGAGTATGTTTAAATAAACCTTCTAATTCTTCTTGAGGACCTAGTCTCTGCTGTGTCCTGTCCTCACCCATCTGCCTCCCACCCTTGCTGAGCACTGGGGTAAACAAGACCAATCTGGCCATTCCCTATGAGTGGCAGAAGGGAGTAATTCGCATAGCTATTTTCTAAGTTCTTGGTGGTTCAGGCATGTAGGATGAACTCAGCATAAATAGCTATGAGTAGAATGTAATGTTTTACCACCATAAAAATCTAACTAGTTTTGAGCTATGGGGAACCTCACTTAATGACACCTTTTTTCTTTCTTTTTAAACTTCTGATATGTTATTGTGCTCTGGGTTTTGTTTTATTTTGGCTCTAAGATTGAAAGTAGGCTGAATCCCCTCTCAACAGGGGCAGAGATGGGGAATGAGGAGAAAGCGCAGAGAACTGTTATTTTTCTAATGATTACATCTGAAAGATACAAAGAGACATCTTGGCCAAGAGACTGTGGCAGCCAATTGCCCCCATGGAGCAAAGCATAAGTGCAAAATTAAATGACAACTTTGTTTAAGATCTGTTTATGTCAATGATATTTGTTGGTGAAAACGACCTGGAAGGGGAACATCTGTATTAAAAACACCTAATTAAAAGCACAAATCTTTCCATATCCAGTTATTAAAGTTAGCTTGGGACTGTAACAGCCACTCTTGTCCCCCCTTTTATTGGAATGTGGTTATTATGGGCTGGAGTTCTCCACTAGAGATGGAGGGGGTGATGAGGGAATTGGCTTGGAGAACTGACTGACAAACTGGGGACTTATGTGTGTCTCCAGGGTTTTGGGTTCTATGTTGAAGGCTGGGATCCAGTGCTTGAAGCACAGATTCTGTCAGGGCCCAATGAACACACATTGGGTGGTGGTCTAGGTTGGCCAATGCTGAGTTGAACTCCAAACTGAATGGGAGCATTGTGGCTTTTGTAATCCAATCATGCAATGATTATACCAGCTTACAGGAGTTCTCAGCAGGTGCTTTTATGAAATGATAAAGAGCTATGGCTTCTTTTTGGTAGGTAATATGTATTTATTAAATGTATTAATGTGTTTTATAATGTACATTCACCCTCTTCTGGCTGACCATCACATACTTATAAGAAAAGATCATTAAAGAAATTTCAAGACAATCAATGTGTACTTTACATGATTGTATATAAATATTACAAATTAAAAATGTTTTAAAGCATGGGCAGATGGATTTTATTTTCAAAATGCTGTTCTTAACCCCAAAATAAAGGCTTTACTATTTACTTAAGATGTGTGGTAGCTTGTCAAAACAACCCAGTACAACCACTAGGCTTTCAGATCTGCCTGGAATCTAAGGCTGTGGCTCTTTGAATGAGAGAATCCTGGTTAACAGCAAATCACAGAACAAATGAGGGTAATGGGTCAACTTGCTCATAAAATGAGGAACTTTCTATATTTTTGAGCTTTGACAACAAAATCCTTTGATATTGTTGTTGGGTTTAAGTGTCACATCTTGTTGGGTGAACTGTAAAAGCCAGTGTGCTTTTGAAATGATCACAGGCAATAATGTCTTTTTTATGAAGAGTATGCAACAGATAAACACAAAAGCTACTGCAGAGGTTTGTGACTCAAATTTAAATATGGCTCTTTGCATAGGGGACCAAAAGTGGGAAACTGGTAACTAGGACATTTTATCACTGGAACTAGAGTTCATTGTACTTTTTCATGGAAGTTGGTGCAGAAGGAAACTCCTAAAGCACTGAATAAATATATGGAAGAAAGAATAAAATTTAGGAATAATGCAGAATGTTAAAACTAGTACATTCTTACCAGTAAAGTAAGAACTATTTGCATTAAAGATGTATGCAACAAATCTTATCTTATGTGGGAAAGATTCTGTATTCACGTGTACTGAATCTAGACATTAAAAATCTAACAATAGAGGAAGCATAATTTGGACTTTTTGCTTGAATCGGGTCATTGGTGCTTAGATGAGATGATAGCGACAGTGGTTAAGGTGCTGGAGTTGTAGCTACAGCCTCCTCCTCCATTTTGTATTTCACTGCAAAGAAACAAAAAAGAAAGTCAGGATTGATTTACTTACCTAGACAGACTTGTCATTTGGAAATCAAGAACTTTGATATGTGAAGAAGGCCAGTTGTACCAAAACCCACCAAGCTACTGTGGTTCTGGCCCTGTGGATCCCTAGGGAAGAACATAGTGTCTCTGTGCTACAAACGCAGCATCTGGAGTTTCCAAACCTTTCTCATAATGTTCATGGCCATTCTTAGTTTGGTTCAGAAGAAAGAGTGTGTTTTGCAGGTAGGGAGAACTGAAGAAAGTTCTTGTCTGTCACCTCTCACCCTGTTCTTCCCACCCACCCAAAATTAAAACCTCAGGATAGCACTGGGGTCAATAAAAAATCAGAAGAGAATTTTTTCTAGCCTTTGTTGGTCTGTACAAGAAGTTGATTTGGGTGATTTTCTGAGTCAGCCAAACAGTAAAGTTAGCTAAACATAGCATTGGCACAATTAATAAGGAAAAATGTCCCAAAAGATAACAGTCCCTCCTCCAAAAATATGGAAACCCAGCCTCCGGGATGGGAGGAGGGGTTCTTTAGAAAGACCCTCTTTCTTTCATGATTTTGCTTCTAGTGTCCAGATGCCTGCCTAGATGTTAGTGCCTGAAGGGTGATTCTAAGCAAGGCCATGGCACTGGTATTTTGTGGAGAGCAATGTTTGAGCAGAAAGGATGTGGTTTCTACCATGTAGGGCAAAGGTTTCGTTTGAGCCTGCTCTCTTGATCTTGATCCTGACCTTCCAGTGACTAAGGGCACATTGGCAGACCTAAGCCCAGGGTGTGGTGTGGACACCGTCAAATGCAGTGCAGCTACTTCCTGATGGAATTGGGCTGAAGGCTTTTAGCAGCACAGTCTAGCCCAGCAATTTCAAAACTGGGCTACACAGACTGCCCAGCGTTTCTTGGACATGGTTTATTCAAATAAAGTCAATTTCCAAATCTTTAGCGTCTATGCAGAGATCTGCAATTGCAGGGTTTATATCTGTCCCTTTCCCTACCTCCCCATCCTGGCACCGCCCAGAGTGTAAAAAATCCCCAGGTGCCAAATAAGAAATTTGAAACAGCATCCCCTAGGGTCTCCTCCTTTTAATAATTCTCAAAATTTATAATACACTTATTTAGCTACCAATAATTGTATTAATAACACAAACCAGAAAAAAATGTTTTTAATGCTTGGAGCCTGTGGTCTTTGGAACATTAAAAAATATTTTTCAATGTATATACTTTTTTGTGCTACATTTATGGATAATCACAATGAAGACTCTATTGATTATTACAGTTAATGATTCTTCATAGACCAGATGCACCACACCACAATTGGTGCTCTCCCAAAAGTCTGCTGATTATGATGTTATTCAGGTTGTGAATATTTAGCAAGTGACTGAGGGCAGCAGAGTCCTGATTTGTAGCATTTGCCAATTTCCAGCTACTAGCCTGACAACGTAATACAGAACTTGGAAGAGGCACAAAACTGGATGCAGCAGCTGAGCACAACTGCTATGGTCCCATCAGGCAGTGTGCAGGGTCACCACAGGTACAAGGTGGCTTTATAGCCATGGTTGGGGGAAGCAGTAATGCCTGCATCACTGGGAACCTGTTAGAAATGCAAATCCAGGAGCCCCATCCCAGACTTACAGAATCAGAAGCTGCCAGTGGAGCCCAGCTATGTGTTTAACAAGCCCTACAGGTGATTCTGATATGGGTACTAAACTTTGAGACCCTGACTACTGGTTCTTTACCCTGTGGCTGCATTTAACAATTAACTGGGCAGCTTCTGAAGCCTAATGGTGCCTGGGTCTTACCCCAGATGTTCTAATGTAATGGGTCTTGGGCCCTGGGCATCAGTATTTATTCAAAGCTCTCAAGTGTTGCTAACTTCTGCCAGGGTTGAGAAATCCAAACCATGGTTGGAGTCCCTTTAAAGAAATATGACTCTAAGGACCCTTAGAGCAGTTGAGAGGAGTATCAGTGCCTCAAAATTGAAGCCATTTGAATGACATTCTCTCTGGCCTACAGTTGGCATATAGACATTAAAGACTACTAATGTGGAGGGAAGGAAGGATTGGTTTCTGGGAGAAATTACCAGCTCTTGGGTTTTATAGTTCCTCAACCCTGTCTGAAGGAAGAATTCACCTGAATGTGTTTCTTCCAGTATTTTAACCAATCCCTCTCCATACCTTGATAACCTCCCTTACCTATCCCCTATACTTTGACCCTGCCTGGGAAAAGCCCTTATCTCTTTCAGATCACTATAAAAAAATCTTGAGGGAAGAGAATGGAGAGGGATGCGATGGACTCTCCTTCAAACTGTAGAGTCAAGATACTATCTAGAGTTGGTGAATTGGAAATAAGGATGGGTGTGGAACCTCATGATGAACTCACCTGGGAGGCTCTGAATGCTCCCAATGCCCAGCCCCACCCTTGCTAATCACGTCAGAATCTCTGAGATTAGGGACTGTCCATTAGTGCAACCACACTGGAAAACTGCCACTATGAAGTGAAACTGAGTATGCATGCTCCCTGCAATGAAGAATCCACTCTTATATTTCTCCTCTGGAGAAACCCTTGCACAAATGTACTGGGAGACGTGAATTAGGATGTTCATGAAGGCAGGAAATGAAAAACAACTGAAAGGTTCGTTAACAGCTATCTGGGTAAACAAATCTTGGTCTATTTGAACAGTGTGCACACAGCAGTGGACATTAATGGACCACAGTGAGCATGTCAGCTTAAATTAGTTTACCAAGGTAGAAGGAATGGTGGAATGGTACCTATTGTGTGGTTCTATTTATAGCAGATCTAATCTGTGAGGGATGCATCTAAAGAGGAAAAGAACTCTACAGAAAAGCAAAGAACCATTATCACAAAAGTTAGGAGAATTATGACTTCAGTGTGGAGAGGGCACTTTAAAAGTGATGGCAGCGCTCTAATCCTTAGCTGGAATGGTGGTCACATGAGTGCTTTATAGCTATATGTTTCAGAGTCACTATTGTGTGTATACTTAAAAGCTTCCTAAAAAAGATTTTAAAAATAAATATGGTAGTATACTAGAAATTATGAAGTAAACCAATAAAGGAGTGGAAAAGAGCAATTTAACTGCTTTGGAGGAGGGTGGGGATGAATGTAAGTGAGCTAGTCACTATCTGTCACAGCAAGAAATCAGTAGATAATGCCTAAAATTGTATCTATCTGTTAGAGATATGGAAGTGACCACACAGAGACGCAGCTAAGTTCAAAGTGATTGTTGTAGAAGAGGACAACACAAATATCATGCTCATTCTGCCCTGTTATGTATCTTTTTAACCCTGACAACCATGTGCAGAGATTGCTTTGCTAATTTTTTTTTTAAAAAAACAATGAATTCAGTGGTTTTCCTCCAGGTCCTTTCAGAACAGAGCCCTGCACAGATAAGTATTCAATAAAAGGAGGGAGCAAGGAAAGAGGTAGCAGGCAGGATGACTTAATGAGAGAACCCAGTCTCCACCTTAGCTTAGAAACATCACTGTGGTTGGCTTCCAACACCACCAAGCAGCAGCCTCCTGCTCCTGCATGTCCTGGTCCCCCTTGGCAGGCTTGGCACAGTCGATTCCCGAAGGGCTAGACAGTGGAAAATCCTGGAAAGATGTACCATCCCTTCAGCTTCAATGAAAGGCAATCTTGACTAGAAAGACCCTGCATACTAATGAGGCTCCTTCTTCTTTGTCACCCTCACCCTCTCCTTCCAGTCAGTGATGGAGCAGAGAGCTCCAGGCAGTACAGCAGCTGCCTAAGTTGCAAGATGTGGGGAGAGGATTCTGAGGCCACCATTAATTTGGTATTGCCCAGGTGTGGCCTTAGCATAAAGGATCACCTGGGGCAAAAATGCCAATTCCTGGTCCTTACCCAGACCTTTAGAATCAGAATCTCCAGGCATGAGGACTGAGGATCAGCATCCTTTGCTCCTTTCACCTCCATGCTTTGAGTGATTGTTCTGATGTGACAAGTTTGGGACAGAACTCTGTATCACTCAGCCATCACTCAGTGCCTGTTTCTTGATGGCTCAGGTCTGAGCATGGCCCTCCTCCTTAAGGGCACAGGAGGCATAAACAAAACAAAGCACAACAAGTGCTCAGCACTGAGCCTGATCCAGAGCTAAGCACTCAAAAAACAGTACCTGTTAATATTTTTAGGGCATTGTCTTTAACCTCGGGGAACTCACATTCTAGGGGGAGGTGGAAAAATAAACGGAGTTATAAGAACCATGAGATGCTCACACAACAGAGAAAAGTTGCTTCAATAAATGTTTATCCATCACACACCTACAGACCCCAAACAGTGCTAGGTTCTGAGTTACAAAGAGGGGACTGGTTCACAATATCAAGGCCTTAAAGTAATTTTTTAATCCAATAAGAACTCAGTTTCTAGGATCCTGGGTAAGAAGAGCAAATACTTCAATGGTACTTATTGAGCCCTTTACACTTATGAAGTGACAGTGAGGTAGGTGCTGTCATTTTCCCCAGTCTTACAGATGAGGAGTCTGAGGCAGAGAAAGGCTATGTAATTTGTCCAAGGTCACACTGTGGGCTCTCTGGTTACTGCATTCATGTTCGTAATCCCTACAGGGTCATGGTCTCACCGCTGTCTCTCACTTGGGAGATGAAGACCTCTGCAATCAAAGATTCCACAGTGATGCCTGGAGATGAAGCTGCATCATTT